CCTATTGTTGCATGAGACCACGAGGCTTAAGCATGATCTGCTTGGAGACCTTGAGGTATACTGGGGATCAAGCTCTGGTTGCCATATCAAGACCTGGACCTGAGGGGTTTCCTTGGCCCCTGACTAAAATATTTTTGTATATTACTGACTTTTATAAATGCACTTTTTGTTGTAACTTGCAGGGATTCTTTTGAATACTGAATGTTTTATGCCCTTTCTGAATCCAAGTCCTCTATTGTATAATCTTGTGATTTTCTTCACATCTTTCCTAATGTATTGCTAGGATTTACTTTTTAATAATTTGTTGAAGATTCTTATATCTTTGCTTTTAAATTTCTTGCTCTTTTTCTCCTCCCTCTCTCTGGTTGGGGGACCATCTGGAATGTTGGGGTTGAATCCCAGGTCAGCTGCGTGGGGGCAAGTTGCGTGCTCCATGTATGATCTCTCCAGCTCTAAAGTAATTTCTTGGAATGTCTGACTGGTTTTGATATTAGGGTAAAGCTGATCTTGAAATGAAAATTGAGATGGTTTCCTGTTGTTCTGTTTTCTGGGCAAGATTGTATAAGGTTATTTGTTGTTACCTTACGTTGTAGAATTTACTAGTGAGACCATTGAATATTGTGTTTTCTTTGGAGAAAGGTCTTATCTAACTTGTTCAGTTTGTTTCATAAATGAAGCAACATTGATAATAAGTTTTTCAGCAGATTTTAATAGTGGTTTTAAGGAAATCGATTTTGTTTTGGTTTGTTTTTTAGGCCACACCCCGCAGTGCTTAAGGCTTACTCCTGGCTTTTCACGCAGGGATTGCTCCTGGCTGTGATCAAGGGATCATAGGGACTTCTGGTAATCAATCAAGGCAAACACCCTACCTGCTGTACTGTGCACTGGCCCCTAAGGAGATTTACTCGAAATTGTAGTAGTAGCTCTTGATTTTGTTTGCTTTCGGTTTACAAGTCCATTAATCTCCACTATCATTTATTTCCTTCTTTTGGGGTTTAGTTTTTAAGTTTGCTTTTCTAAAAAGTAGTATATGACATTTGGTTAGTAATTGTAATTGATCGTAATTAGTAATTGATGTGTTCCAGCCCTTTGAGTGTCTCTTTGGCCTCTTTTGTAGTTCTCTTGAGCATACTGTGCGTTGTAATTTCATGGCTGGCTGTCCTCAGAGATAGCTGAAATCAAGAGAAAGGGCTTTCAGCATTTTGCCATATCCTTTCCGTCCTGTGGGTGGAAAGCTGGCCACCCAGAGTTGTGGCATGTGCTTTGCATGTAAGAGGGCCTAGGTTCAATCCATGGCACATCATGTATTCACCTCTAGTACCCTGGGTACTGCTAGGTGAGATTAAAAATAAATTTTGCCATAATAATAGAAGGAATATTAGTCCAGATTTTCCTAGGGCTGGAATTCACAAGTATTCTCTGTTATATTGGATACTTCTGCAACATTTTGGAGACTAGTCATATAGCTTATTTAAGACCTTAGTCTTGTAGCTGTGTGTTGGGGGGGCAGTGGTCATCACATCCAGCCGTGCTTAGGGACTAATCCTGACCTGGTACTTGGGATTGCGCCTGGTAATGCTTGGGAGACCACGTGCTGAGGATCAAATTTAGGCCTCCAGCATGCTCCAGAGATACAGCCCATTGAGCTCTCTCATCAGCCCTTTACTTTTATCTTTGAAGAATTAAATGATTTCTAAAGTTTAGGGGTCTTAGGAAAATTATTAGATGCACATAGGCTTTATTTTCCTGGCACCTTTTCTATATTGCAGTGTACATAAATCATTGGAGTTTAACTGCACTGAAATGGTGATGTGAATATATTTTGGTGATATATAAATAGTGATGTGAATGTATTTTATTTGTATTCTAAAATCCCCTTTCCCCACTCATACAGTGCTGGTAGAATATAGTAGTTTGACATTATTATGCTATTCTAGTTTAGAATTTTTTCCAGTACTAGATAGTTTAGCAGGTAAGGTGCTTGGTTGACATGCTTCCAACCCTTGTTTAATCACTGGCATAACTTAGGGCCCCCTAGCACTGCCATGAGTGATCCCTGAGCACATCTGAGTGTGGCCCCAAACTCCCCCCACTCCCCAGCCCCCTAATGTTTTTCCCTTGAGAAATACCCTGTTGGGAAAAACTTAGGCCGGTATGGCCATGCATATTACCAAACATGCCATGTATCATGCAAGTTCTCGAAGGATGTACCATTGGTATCCTGTGTTCTTCATTGCTGCAGAGGAACAATCGTCTGGGTCCTCTTGGGAGTGAGCACATTTGTACTCATTCTGTTATCTAAAATCTTTGTCAGGCTAGTAGGCTGTGGGGTATTGGAGTTTTTTTTTTGTTTTTTCTTATTTATTTATTGCTTTTTGGGTCACGCCCACCGATGCAAAGGGTTTCCCCTTGCTCATGCACTCAGGAATTACTCCTGGCAGTGCTGGTGGACCACATGGGATGCTGGGAATTGAACCCGGGTCAGCCGCATGCAAGGCTAACTCCTTACCCACTGTGCTATTGCTCCAGCCCCCTTTTTTTATTTCTTAAATTTTTTATTAGTGAATCACTGTGAGGTACAGTTACAGACTTACAAACTTTTGTGTTTGCATTTCAGTCATACAATGGTCAAGTACCCATTCCTCCACCAGTGCCCATTTTCTACCACCAGCATCTCTCCCACTACCCCAACCCTGCCCCGCCTCTGTGGCAGGGCATTCCCTTTTGCGCTCTCTCCTTTTGGGTGTTGTAGTTTGCAATAGAGGTATTGAGTGGCCCTCATGTTCGGTCTGTACTCTACTGTAGCCTCAGCCTGCATCTCCCATCTAGAGTGAGAGCCCCTCCTTTTTAAATTTTAAATAATGTTTCTAAGAGACATGACAATGTAAAATTTGATATAAACATAGCTCAATAGCTCTTTCTCTTCGGGTTTTGCTTTGTTTTGGGGCCACTGCTGGCAGTACTCTGGTTACTCTTGGTTTTGTGCTCAGGAACCACTCCTGAGTGATTCTTGGGAGACTACAGCTGTGGATCAAACTTGGGTTGGCCACATGCAAGACAAGCACCTTAGCGTCTGTACTACCTATTCTGCCTGACAGATTGAATTGAGAGTAATCTATTTTTTATGACTTTTTCGTATAGGATCACTTTAAAACTAAATTAGTATATTGATGAATTCTGTGCTCCTACTGGTGAAATAAGAGTAGTTTGTGTAACGAAACTTTTAAAAATACTATTTGATGCTGATATAATAAAATTATGAAATATAGTCCTAGTCCCAGATTTGAGTTCCATCTTTAACATTATCACTGTGCGCTCTCCCCCCCTCCCCCTCCCTGAATGGGTCAGGTTTTCCCCATCTTGTAGGATCTTCATTTTATTTTTGCTTTTGGACTACACCTAGCTATGCTTAGGGCTTACTTCCTGGCTCTGCCCTTGGGGTCTTAGGTGTGACTCACAGGGTGCCAGGGATGCCAGGATCAGTCACATGGAAGGTGAGCACCCTACTGGCTATACTATCTCTCCAGCCCCAGGACCTGCATTTTTAAAAAAATTTTTATTAGTGAAACATCATGAGGTACAGTTGTATAGACTTACACATTTTTGTGCTTGGGTTTCAGTTATACAATGATCGAGTACCCATCCCTCCACCAGTGCCCATTTCCCACCACCACGGATCCCAGTATCCCTCCCACCCTCCTTTCCCCCCATCCCACCCTGCCTCTGTGGCAGGGCATTCCCTTTTGTTCTCTCCTTTTGAGGACCTGCATTTTAAGTGATTGTTTATTTTTAACCCATGCTAAGTAAGCTCACTAGCTTTGCGGGAAACAAAAATTATCTGTGAAAGCATTGAGAGAGCAGTAAACTTTTTTTTTTTGGTTATATTTATTTATTGAATCACTGTGGGAAAAGTTACAAAGCTTTCAGGTTTAAGTCTCGGTCATACAGTGATCAAACACCCTTCCCTTCACCAGTACTTATTTTTCACCATCAAGAACCCCAATATACCTCCTTCCCACCCCTCCCGATGCCTGTGAGACAGATGATTTCTACGTATAGAGCAGTAAACTTTGAATCTTTTTCATGGCATTTGCTTTTCATTCTAGAAATGAAATAGCAACCTAAGATTATACTTTATAATTCATAATAACTACAATACATATGGAGCGATAGCACAGCAGGTAGGGCATTTGCCTTGTACGCAGCCAACCTGGGTTCGATTCCTCTGTCCTTCTTGGAGACCCCAGCAAGCTACTGAGAGTATCCTGCCTGCTTGGGGGAGCCTGGCAAGCTCCCCGTGGCTATTCGGAATGTCAAACACCAGTAACGCCGTCTCACAATGGAGATGTTACTGGTGCCTGCTTGAGCAAATAGATGAACAATGGGAGGACAGTGCTACATACTTTGTCATTGAAATCAAATAGCTCTGAAGCATTTTGACTTAAAAAATTGTTTATGGGGGGCCAGAGTGATAGTACAGTGGGTAAGGTTTTTGTCTTGGATGTGGCTGACTGGGTTTGATCCCTAGCATCCCATAAGTTCCCCCGAGCACCACCAGAAGTGATCACTGAGTATAGAGCCAGGAGTAAACCCCTGATCACTGTTAGGTGTGGCCACAACCCCCCCCTCCCCCCGCCCAAAATAAAAGTTGAACTAGTGAACTATTCAGTATATAGGATGTGAGGAAATTTTATTGGAAATATATTAATGTGTCAGTGTTAAATCTTAATTGAAATTTTTTATTTTACCCAGTGCTTGATTTCATACAGTAATTTCCCACCTGATTTGTTTTTCACTTATTTTGAATTATACCATAACATTCTGACATAGTGTGGCAAACTTTTAAAGTGAGTTGATTTTTAAGTTTTGTGGATTTTTAGGGGGGATAAAAGAATCTTACTTGGTTAAGTTATACAGTTAAATGCTATCAAAAAGTTCACTGCATATATCATTATATTGCTATTACCTTAAAATGACTTTTTTTTTCCCCCCTTCTTTAGAATCCAGCAACTATTACAAGAATACTCCTTAGCCACTTCAATTGGGATAAAGAGAAGCTAATGGAAAGGTAAGGAACTATATTGTCAGCCTTGGCTTAAAAGTAACACAGAAATCCTTTGAAATGAATTCGCATGAAGGCATTGACCTTATATGTGTATGTGTGAAAAACATACGAACAATAAACCAGTGTGCAAGTGGCATTTGCTTTAAGTTTTTCCATCACCTCTTGTTAAGTAGTACTTTAAAGTATAAGGTTAAGGAAACCCAGAAGTTTTTGTTTTTGTTTTTGTTTGTTTGTTTTTCTAGAACAGAGGTGGGGCTGTGCTTCATTATCGTCTACATGTGACCTCAAGTACCAAGAATAAAAAGATTTAGATAGTACTTGTTACATTCTTGCTTGGACCACATGAATAAGATCTTTTAATTAAAAGTTTCTGGTTTGTTGTTTGGAGCAATGTAAAAGTGGGTAGGGTGCTTGTCTTGCAAGCCGGAGCCCACCAGGAGTGACTCCTGAGCACAGAGTCAAGAGTAAGCTCTGAGCACTGCTGGGTACGGCCAGAAAACAAACAAAAGTTTCTGGTTTATAAGCCCTTAAATTTGTGTGAGGCATACTAATGACATATATTCAGTAAAAACAAAATAAAAGAAGTTGCTCAAGTATCCTGGCCACCAAAACAGATGTTGACACTAATTCTCTGGTTTCAGTGTGGGATTATACATTTCATTGAGGGATTTTTTTAGTTTTTTTTTTTTCTCTTGTTTTTGTTTTCTCTTTCTGAAAAATTACCGAAAGGGGGAAATATTACTGTGACTAGAAAATGGTACTGTTGATGCTACTACTAATTTTTTCTCTTAGATTGGAAATGTTTTAAAGTAGTATGGCAGTCTGTATTTATTCTGTTAGCCTCATTTAAAATCATCAATCCTAATTTGTAGGTAGGGAGTATTTGATCATACTTTTCTGTGCTTGGGGCTCACTCCTGGCTCTGCTCAGTGCTTGGGAGACTGTGTGTGGTCCTGGGAGACTGAGTCAGAGCGCACCTTGTGCAAGGCAAGTGGTTTTCCCACTGTGCTGTCTCTCCAGCTCCCAGTTCCAATTTTAATTTAAAAATTAGCTGGTTGGAAACTGAAGACTCAAATATTGGGAGAAATAAATAGTAAACATTTTTCTTCTGATTTTAAAATTGATAGTAAAAGCCCTCCCGTTGATCGTCGATTTGCTCGAGCGGGCCCAGTAACGTCTCCATTGGAGATTTTGTTGTTACTGTGTCTGGCATATCGAATACTCTCGGTAGCTTGCCGGGCTCTCCGAGAGGGGCGGAGGAATCGAACTCGGGTCGGCCATGTTGGCCGCTTGTAAGGCGAACGCCCTACCGCTGTGCTATCGCTCCAGCCCAAAATGCCCGGCAAGCTACCGAGAGTATTCGATATGCCAGACACAGTAACAACAAAGTCTCCAATGGAGACGTTACTGGGCCCGCTCGAGCAAATCGACGATCAACGGGAGGGCTCGAGCAAAATTGATAGTACTTTGTAATAATAGTCTCATACCCTAATTACAGTTTAATAATCTTATTAGTTAAGGGGCCAGAGCGAAAGTACAGCAGGTAGGGCACTTACCTTTCCTGAAGCCTGCCTAGGTTTCATCTCCTGCATCCCATATGGTCTCTTAAGGAGTGATCCCTGAGCTTGTTGAGTGTGATTCCCCTCCAGAGAACTATTTGTTAAATAGTTCTCTCTCTCTCTCTCTCTCTCCCCCACTCCCCCCTCATATTTCTCTTATGTAAATTTTTTCAATAAAATTATTTTTCTTTAAAATTTCTGATTATTGAGCCCTCTGTGCTAGGCATTATTTCACATTCTTATAGATTTGGGGGGGTTAGAAACTATTCTTTAATTGGTTTGTGAAAATTAAGGTCTAAAGCTTAATATATTTAACTCAGTTTTGTAATAATAAGGAGATGGCAGTCAAGTTTAGATTTGTATTATTACATACTACACAGCTTTCCTTGGGTTAGTGATGATTAAACTGCTCATTGGTTGTTGTGATTCTTCCCTCTTGACATTCTCTGTCACCTGTGGGTTTGATCATCTCTTTAGAAATCATGGCATTCCTTAATTTTGGTAACATGGCTTATTCTACGGAACCTCTGTTAGGAAAAGGAGTTTCATTGTTTACATCTAATTCTCTTCTCGTGTAGTAGACTTACTCAGTTTAATCACTTAAACAAGTTTAATGCACTTGTCCAAAGGCATTCTTTAGAACTTTGTTCTATCACACTGACATTGCTGTGAAAGCATTTTTAACTGCTAGGTTTATATTTAACCTAGGAGTGAAAAGGCAAAATTAAAAGGCAGATAGCTTCTAAGAAATTGAGAGCACAAACTTTTGATTGTGTACATACGTGTGTGTGTGTGTGTGTGTGTGTTTGTGTGTGTGTGGTTTGAGGACACACAGTGTTCCTCAGTGTTTACTCCTGGCTCTGCGCTCAGTGATATATCTGGCAGGCTTGGGGGACCATAGGAGGTGCCCAGAATCAAACCCAGGTCAGCTATGTGTAAGGCGAGCACCCTGCCCCCTGTACTATCTCACCAGCTCCTAGTGTATAATTTTTCATTTCAGTTTTTATATACTTATTCTGAAGGTAAATTTTTTGGTATATAGAAATCTTTAGTGTTTTATAAATTAACATGCAATATCTTTTTGTCTGTTTTAGCGGGTTTTAATATCCTGTTGCTTGATATGTGCCATAGTATATGTTTACATATAATTCTAAGTTTACATATAAATGTAAATTGTCCTTTACATTTATAATGTTTTCTCTTTGGTTATTTTGTTGCTTTGCAGTCAGGTATACTCCACCCATCCTCAATTTCCCAGTTAAATAAACTTTTTTAATGATCACCCTTACATTTTGTATATGCATACTTAAAACCTGTACTTTCATAAAATGGTGTTTATTATTCATGCCCTGTACGGGATAAAAGTGGTGGCATATTTCTATTCACAGCTTGATAGGTTAGTAAGATTTGAATTTTTGTACATTTAACTGGTTTTTTTTTTCTTTTTTCTTTTTGGGTCACACCTAATAATGCACAGGGGTTACTCCTGGCTCTGCACTCAGGAATCAGTCCTGGTGGTGCTTAGGGGACCATATGGGATGCTGGGAATCGAACCCGGGTTGGCCGCATGCAAGGCAAACACCCTACCAGCTGTGCTGTTGCTCCAGCCCCTACATTTAACTGTTTTAATAATTTTTTTTTTTAGTTGCCATTCACTATTCCTGCCATTCTGTAGATTGACCACTTTTCCTGTATAATATGTCTTTTAATCATTCGAGTTTCATGTCGGGAAAATTACTGAGTATTTTAGAGAAATCCTTAATATCCTTTTTTTAAATTTTTTTTTAAAAATTTTTATTCATGAAACACCATGAGGTTCAGTTGTAGACTTAAAAATTTTTGTGCTTGGGTTTCAGTTATACAATGATCGAGCCCCCATCCCTCCACCAGTGCCCATTCTCTACCACCACTGATCCCAGTATCCCTCCATTCCCCCATCCCCCCTCATCCTACCCTGCCTCTGTGACAGGGCATTCCCTTTTGTTCTCTCTCTCTCCTTTTGGGTGCTGCGGTTTGCAAAAGAAGAATTGAGTGATAATTCGTGTTCAGTCTATAGTCTACTTTCAGCATGCATCTCCCATCTTGGGATCCTCCCAACACCCTTTGTTTTGTGCTCCCTTCTCTATCTGAGCTCCCTTTCCCCCCAGCATGTGCGGCTGGCCTCCAAGCCATGGAGCAAACCTCCTGGTACTTATCTTGGCTATTCTTGGGTATTAGTCTCCTGTTTACTTTATGTTCCCCAGATGAATGCAATCTTTCTATGACTGTCTCTCTCTTTCTGACTCATTTGGCTTAGCATGATACTTTCCATGTGGTACCACTTGTATGTAAATTTCATGGCTTCATCTTTTCTAACAGCTACATAGTAATCCACATTGTGTAGATGTACCAAAGTTTCTTTAACCAATCATCTGTTCTCGGGCATTCAGATTTTTTCCAGATTCTAGCTATTGTAAACAGTGCTGCAATGAACAAACAAGTGCAGATGTCACTTCGACTATACTTCTTTGCCTCTCTGGGATATATTCCCAGGAGTGGTGTTGCTGGGTCAAATGGGAGCTCAATTTCTAATTTTTTGAGAATTGTCCATACTGTTTTCCAAAAGGGCTGAACTATTTGGCATTCCCATCAGCAGTGAAGGAGGGTCCCTTTCTCGCCACATCCTCACCAGCACTGGTTGCTTTTGTTCTTTTGGATGTGGGCCAGTCTCTGTGGTGTGAGATGATATCTCATTGTTGTTTTGATCTGCATCTCCCTGATGATTAATGATGTAGAGCATTTTCTCATGTGCCTTTTAGCCATTTGGATGAGAAATCCTTAATATTCTGAGAGTTGGAATGGATAGTGAAAACATAGCCAGTTGAGATGAGGATGCAGTTTGGTTTTTAGTTCAAGAAAATTCATAGTTGTTTTTTCTTCATTAACTTTTCTCCATTCTTATGATTATTTCTGGAATTCCTGTTAGTGTCCTATTAGAGTTGAAATTGCTCTCTTCTAACTCTTGCATCATTATATATTTTATATATAAGTAAAGTAAGTAAAGTAAAGGCCCTCCCGTTGATCATCGATTTGCTCGAGCAGGCCCAGTAACGTCTCCATTGGAGACCTTGTTGTTACTGTGTTTGGCATATCGAATACGTCACGGGGAGCTTGCCAGGCTCTGCCGTGCGGGCGAGATACTCTCGGTAGCTTGCCGGGCTCTCCGAGAGGGGCGGAGGAATCGAACTCGGGTATATATGTATATTGTTTGTTTGGTTTTGGATTACTTCTGCAGGAGTAACGGTTCATATGCAGTGACAGGGATCCAACCTGGGTCATCCTCTTGCAAAGCAAGTGGACTTCCCTCTCCTCAATCACTCTGGCCCCAGTTATCTTTTTGTTTTTCTGCTCTGGTTTATGGAAACTTCTCATTTACCTTTTCTTTTACATTTTTTGGGAATAGTA